TAATAATAATAATAATAATAATAATAATAATAATAATAATAATAATAATAATAATAATAATAATAATAATAATAATAATAATAATAATAATAATAATAATAATAATAATAATAATAATAATAATAATAATAATAATAATAATAATAATAATAATAATAATAATAATAATAATAATAATAATAATAATAATAATAATAATAATAATAATAATAATAATAATAATAATAATAATGCATTAGTTAGATACAGTTTTCCGGGTACTCAATTGCAAAGAGGTCAATGATGCGCGTCATCGAGGCACCGGAAATTATACTCGTTCTACGTAATTCATGTAACGGATCGCAGAGGGTACATGTCAATTGACGTGTCTGTTATGGGTGCAGCTAACAATATGGAACAAGTATTTATCTCTTCTATTAATATCAGCCGGAGCTATTCTATACCGCTGTTGTTACTTAAGCAACAAAGGTCAACCTATTTTCGCCGAAGAAAAGTCGGTTTCGTTCGTGTAAATTGGAATCAGAATTATTTTTCACCTTTTGTCGAGTATCACATATCGATTGCTTCATTAATGTGATTATTTTAACATGGCGCGATGACACGGCATTTATTTAATCTATTACAATATTTAATCTATGACAATATATTGAAACTGTATTTAATATATAGCCACAATATATCCCTCAGCAAAAGTCACAGTAATATCACAACAGTCACGATGACGTATATGAATGTTCGCTTTGTCACAGGTGTGACAAAACTATGACATCACTATGAATGAAGCTGTGATAATTGCACTTCATTGTGACACTGCTATGATACATGTATAGTACATGAAGATAATAATGTGATATCACGCTGTGATCTTTTGATAATCTCACAGTTACATTCCAATTTGTCTATTACTATTATAAGTCTTGTGATGTGAATGTGAATTTTTTTGTTATGAGGGATATATGGGACAATTAATGATATTTCCGTCTAGTGCAAGTGCACATTGTAACAGCGTTACATGTGTTCTCTGTTTGTTGCGTGATCCGCATTAACTAATAATGATGATTCTTTACTCACGTTCGTATCAAGGACGCCATTCCCATCCGTATCATATAGCCGGAACATGACTGAAAAAAAGGATTATCGAGTTAACACAAGACGAAATTGCCGCGCAACAAGTTGCAGCTGCACTACAAGTCCACACGGAATGGACTTGCAACAACTGTAGCAGAAAATCGAGAAGGACTGCCGGCCGACACGCGAGTCCTCTCATAAATTTTATAGGTACGTCTATCATTCTCGTTTCTTTTTTTTTCTCATATGCGTTACTTCAATATTTCTCTCCGAGGGCAAAATATTTGATTAATTAGCATTTTGCAAAATATTTCGTAGATAGAAAAACATGTTTACGCAAAAGGGTTCAACTTCTTCAACTCTTGTTATTTTAACGTACTATTATTTTAATATTTTTCAAATAATATTTTTTATTGCCTTTTTCTTTTTTTATGAAAATACTTTCAAATGTTTTTCAAAGAAGGTATACATATGAAAAAGTCTAATAAACTCTATCTATATTGAAAAGCAAATGCGTGATTTTTTTTTTAAAAGATTACAGTCTGGATTTTCAAGCCTGGAAATATTCATGATGATATTGTATACACTTCGCGAAACAATTTTTTATTGTGTACGCGCACGTGAAATATCGCTCTGATAACGCTCTCCTAAAAACGAACGAGATTTATGCGCGGACATGTTTTTGATTATACAGGAAACAACCATGTAATCGTTATAGCATCGATCCCGGCTACAGAAAACAATGCTGGGTCTGTTTCAAAGCATCGTCGATCATCCCATCACGAATTATTCGGTATGAAAGTTAATGGGAGTTTCGTGAATTTCGAGATAATCGTTGTTTTTTGGCAATTACTTACATTCCAGTTTATCTTCCGGTCTGCCCGCTTCCAAGAGAGAGAGATAACAAACGATGTCTTTGAGGCTGACTTTAACAGACTGAACGTCTATTGTGCTTTGCTTTCTGACAAGATGTCTCATCTCTGGAAAAACAGAAATCTAATTTGACATCTCGCTAGATAATTTACAGTTGCTGATCAATAAGCGTGTCGTTAATGCAATATTGTCAAATGACTAGATAGATAATCATAAATTTACAGATAAATATTTTAGAAGTTGAAACATAATGCATCCTAAAATACATTAAATATCAAATATTTTATATATTACAATATATTATATTATTAATTATATTATATTATGGCATTAATTTTTTTATAACGAAATTATGATAATTATATTTTTCAAATATATTAAGGACATGATTTTTTAATTCATCAGTATGCTATCGCGAATAAAATTGTAGAAATTATCATAATTACTATTTTCATTCCAAAGAAGTTAAATTGAATTTTCATCAGGATTTTTCTTAACGTCGCATTTCGTGGAAAAGTCCCTGTTAAAGTATCTAGATATCGGATAAAGTGAGAATCGCCAGACTTGCAATATGATGGATCTATCCCATATTTTGTAGGAAATTCACTATGCACTCTGGCGTTAAAGTAAACGGAAAATTCGCGATTTCGAAGGAATGGTCAAGCCGTATTTTTAGATAAACATTCATATGGACTTGAGTAATTGTATCTAAAAGTTTAAAGGACCTGTTGCTTCGTCCGAAGCAGCGCGATTGTCAATATGTATAAGCGATTGGATTTGTCATAATAGATTGTTATAGAGTTTAGTCGCGACTCGAGACAGCTCGACGACGTCTAGCCCGTATTTCTGGATCGCCTATTTATATCGAAATCGCCGTGTAGTTCTGCATGAATCAATGCAACTGTACATCGATTGGATAAAATTTATCGCTGTCGATAAAATTTATTCTTGCGTACTCTCACGATTTCGAAATTTGAATTGCCGGGAAACTGAAATTAATATCAACGAATTCGCATTTCGAATAAAAAAAAGCACGCAAAAGCAATCTCTTGCTCGTGTCTCTAAAATGGAAAAGTGACAATAGAAAATTGATAGATACATTTTGCGTTTCTATCGGATGAGGAAATAAACTTATTAATATCACATCGCTTTTGAAATCCTATTATAAATGTTATAATATCATTTCGATAACAGTCAATTTAGCATTAATTTCACTTTCGAACACAATTTATTAGAAATAAGATCGATTATCTACATATACAAAGATACATATATATAATCTTGTCCCAAAAGATTTATAACTTTGAATACGTCCCATGAATTCATAATTATATATTTTCCATCATTAATAGAAGAATTAGCATATTTTCCAATGGTTCAGGTTCTCTGCTCTTATTTTTAGATGACATCGCGTGTCTCGCAGGAATAATTTTGCATGACGATGAACAAGTTAAAAATAAACTTTCGCACGAGACGATGCGTCGCGTTAACTAACGCAATCATGCGCTTTATCCATGTGAGATCGTATATTTTTTTACGCTAGAACAATTCAATTTATTGAATCGCGAAAAACTCGTAACTTAGAGAAAAAAATTGTTCGGCAACGGCGACGCGACGTTCTGATCGATTGCATACGTAATGATTAATCACCATGACATTCAGCTGAAACTTTAAATCAATCTACTAAATTATTTTCTATTGCTTATTCTCTAAACGCTTTAGAGTGTAATTTCACTCTGAAGTATGAAAATTGAGCCAATCTTGAGAAGGAGTGGTTAATTTTCAATTTTTAAGAGTGAGCTTTCACTCTAAAAGTTTTAGAGAATACACATTTTTTCTCTTAATGTGGACAGTTTATCAAAATTTATTGAACGTAATTTCATAATCGTACGCAATGTTTGACTTTGCATCCTGTTTTAATGAAAATCTATGATATAATCATTAGCGGCTTCATTAAATTAAACTAATTATTATTTGCGGATTGTAGCAATGTGGATTATTTGATTTAGTTGATTTCGCGTGAATAAATTGATTGTCGTATTTGCCGCATAAACGTGAATTAAAAATGTATTTGCGTATATCACTTGTTAATTGTACGCACAGTGTGGAGATTATCTCGGTATAAACATATCGAATCTTCGAAAGTCATGAAACTTACCTTCCTTCAACTTCACTCCCGATACGTTTGGTAACTGGACCATTTTTCACTATTAAGGACGATGTAAAAAAGAGGAAATTGGTCTCTCTAGATCGGATTATCTAATCCTTTTGTGTCGTCTAATTATTAATCAGAATCAAATAATAAGATTAATCCGCGTTGACGTGCGATTAATGATTTAGCACTTGTTGCTTCTCTTGCGACTCAAGAGTCACTGAGACATAGCCTCAGGAACCTGGTATCATTCTCTCCCACACTCGTGACGTCATTTATACCGGATGATACCAGCGATATAGCTATTTTGGTGACATTGGCACGTGTGCATGAGCTGCGCAAACTCGCCCATATATCGCGCGAATAATTCGAAACGCGCAATGTCCCACTCTGTGCTATTCGGAATCGATACGGTAGTAGATTAGTAGTTCATTAATTAAGACAATAACGCACTACGCAGTGACGTCAAGTCTATTCTATTTTTAACGGTATTTTTTTTATACTTTTCGCATTCGAAGTAGCACAATTGTCAGCTCTTAGAAAAATGCCGAAAATATCTTAGTCTTTAAAACCTCTGTAGAAACCTCACTCTTAAAGATTGGAAACTGAGCTGCTCTTTTTCAAGACTGGCTCAATTTTACTTTTACTCTTTTTTCACTCCTTAGAGTAAGATTTCATTCCAAGAAATTTGATAGCAGATTAACAAACTATAGAACAAATTAAATAAAGAAGAACTAATTCGATTGAAGCTACATCTTGGTACCATAATGAATATATCGGGGAAAAAGTTTCTTCGTATTTTTTAATTCAAAATTGTATATACAATATCTTCGTCAAAAATAAATGAAATTTCAATTTAAAAAGAGAATTTTAAAGCTTGAAATCTCTACTTTCGAAAAATTACTATATTTTTTCAGTTTCTGTGAGTTTGATAATTTTTACATCAAAAAAACTGCGAGCTGAAAAAGATGAAAATTTTTCTTTTCACTTTGAAGGTCTCTCACGTGTCCAAAAAAAATTTACAAAAATTTTCGACTACCTATCGTAAAAGTTCGAAGCTTTTCCTACAAAATCATTTTTTAAAAATGTTCCCATGATTTTTTGTTACTGAGTTATTCGCGAATTAAGTAAAGGAGCATTCTAACTTTGATTGCTCGTAACTCCGATAAAAATCATCTCACCGCAATTTAAAAAACAGATTCTTAAAGCTAAAACTTTGCTCTAACGAATAATATAATTGTAACGAAAATTTTGCAACAAATGAAAAACTTGTGCGAAAAATTTTTTTTAAATACGAAGAAACTTTTTCCCCGACCTAATATGTAAATTTTAAATATGTTTTTTAATTATATAAACTACGCGCCGATTAATATCGGTCTTGAAATGCAATTATAAACTGAAGCTGAAATAATAATATCACAAATTAAATTGATCGTTAAATTAATAATAGTAATGGCTAATAAGTATTTTAAAACCTATTTACGCTGTAAATAACTTATTACGGAAAATGTTATCATGACCAGGATACCTATTCAAAATTATAGAAATATACATGGAAGATAGAAGTACTTAAATTTGTATAGGACTCTTATCATTGATAGTGCGGAATCGTTGAATTTCGTTATTATGTATTTGGATCGATTATTTGCATATACATCGGACGAAGAAATATTTTCCGCTCTATTCCTATCCTCTTCATATGTTTTTCACATGATGTATTTTATGATCCTTTTTATTACGAAGCGAACACCTGGAGGCAACTATTCATCTTCTGATTCATAAAAGACGAGATCGAGTCTGTGGTTCAGCTTACCTCAGCTCAGCAATAATTTCAAAATGGCTCGAGGGTACCATAACGCTATCAGAACATTGATTCGTCACATATCTTCTATTTTCAGATCATATTTGATGTTTTCTTTGCATTTTCACGAGTACCAAGAGCACACGTGTACCAAGAGGGGCGCGGAAAAACTTTAACTCACGATTTCATCACTTCCAATGATGTATTCCGACGCGGAAACGCATGTGTTCCACAGTGTGTTTCATGTGTAAAGAGATGATAAGATCAGACCCCGTTCTTTAAACAGACTCGGAAATAGAACCTGGATTGAGTTTTCTCAATCGCGTACACAATCTCCAGTACGTCATGACATTTCGTGAAAATCAACCCGTCTTTCGTCTCTCGTCGTACGTAGATTGTCACGTAAAACCAGAATTTAAAATAGCAATCTCCATTTCTCTCCTGTATCTCCGATAAGATGCGCAAGTTTATGCCGCGCGATCGATGGCACGATCGCCGTAAACGTGAATAAATATTTTCCTTAAATCCATAACGTAAGCATGATTATTTCTGTCACTTACCAGTGCGTCTTCATTTAGAGCAGACATAAACACCGCCTGTTGATGTCTCGCTCGAATAATTTAAATAAACTACTTTTTACATGTCACGCGCTGGAAAACTGACAAAACTAATCGCTCCTTGATTTTGAGTCTTCTGCCAACGAATTTATCGAATTTCATGTTGAATTTTAATAAGATTAATTATTGAACGATTTTTTTTTCTATCAGCAATATTTCTAATGATGAAGTCATTAAATATATATTAAATAAGATATATGCATGGATAAAAATAGCGCAAAACGCCATAACAAAATACTCGCGGAAATGTATAATGAAGCAAGAAAATGGGCTGCGTTGATATCATATAAAAGGTATATCGGCACTGGTATTGTAGTCGCTATTTTTTTTTATTTTTATTACGCTAACTCGTTCCGATATGGTGAAGTACACTCTTGAAAGAGATGTCACGTTCCTCCGTAATTTATCGCAGCATTTACGATCTCAGGTTTTGTTTGGGAGAGAGAGAAGAAGAAGAAGAAGAGGGAGAGAGAGAGAGAGAGAGAGAGAGAGAGAGAGAGAGAGAGAGAGAGGAAAAGAGCTTACGCGTCTGTAAGATCGATGGCGACTAAAATGGACCCTTTGTCATTGCGCTACAGCGCGATTTCTTTGACAAAAATGAATTCTGCGTTGTGCACTGAATTTCACGGATACGCGAGTTCACGTGCGCTGGATGAGAAATCTTTTAAGCGGCACGATCTAACATCCTTTAATTCCGCATTCACGTAAAGCCATACACAGCTGCTCGAGGAACTTTAATGCAAGGTATTCCTCGAGAAGAAGCTCTCGATCACGAAGAACCGATTCTTTATCGAGAGCTTCTACGAACGTAAGCTTCAAGTATCTAAAATGAAAGAGAGGAGAGCGCAGGTGGGGATTATATCCAAAGAATATAGCGAACCGAAGCCCGTTAAAAGAAATAGCACGCGCGCGTATATCGAGTTTACTATATTAGTTAATATAGTGAGAAAGAATTTCTGAAGGAAGAAGGATAGATGAAAAAATATAAGGGAAAGATTAACCGCTATAGCGGAAAAGAGCATATAAAAAATCTGAGTGGAAATTCATTCTACAATAATCTCAATGGTAAAACAGAGTTTCGTGTTTGCGAACAGTGTATTGCGCTCAATGTAGCGTATATGTATTGGATTCAGCGATTGCTCCTACCTTCCAATTTCCCGTTGTTGACAAGAAGGGAATTGTTCGACTTCCTGGATGAATTACGCGACATTTGGCTTTGACTTGGACTGCTGTCTGTGCTCTTCTTCTCTAGCACATCGTGACAGCTGTACGATGTATGAGTGACCGTTAACATCGGATGCACGCTTCCTGAATCGTCCATGTGATTGCGTGAAATACAAGAAAAACAAACAATATGATCGATCAGCTTCGCAAGTTGATCTTCTATATGCAAGACATGATGCAGCGCTTTGAAAGATTCATTGGTTAAATATTCATTATCCGATCTGAACGTCTAATCTTCTCGAAGGCTATATTTTGTGTCTTCCGAGAAATGTACTCTCTAAAATCTTTGAAGTAGAATTTATCTCTAAAGAGTGAAATTTCACTCTTAAAAATTGTCAATTGAGTAACTCTTTTTCAACATTGATTCAATTGTCATTCTTTATCATTCTTTAAAAATTAGATTCCACTCCAAAGATTTTAGAGAACATTTGTTTATATGGAGTTTTTGATTTCTCGCGTTTCAAAGCAATAAGTTACATTAAGAATTACTCCACTTCCGAATTAAGTAAGCAAACATCTTTCCCCGTTTTTTCCTGATAAATACTATATCGTCTACAATGTTATGTTTAGGAATTAAAAATATATTCACGAGATAAATACGTGCACCATGTATATTTGTACAATGTCTCTATAGATCAACTTGGTAAAGAATCGAGAATCGATATTTAGAACGAATTTATTTTAACGAATGGTACCGTCGGACTTAAAAGAGTCTTCATTCAAAGCTTCTTTGGTCGGATCGATTGTTATTCATCCGCCATTTCAAAGCAAACAACTGCATACACATCGATATGTGATGCAGGGTAAAAAAATGGTTTCCAACCATTGGAATTGTCATTTTCGTTTTGCCTGCTTCTGACCTATTTTGTCGCAAGAGTATTCGTTTACCATAAAAATATAGCCTGAGAAACGGAAGGCCCGAGCGCTGCTGGTACAAATTGAGAAGAAAAATATTTGTATTAAAATAGTATTGATACAGTGACCATTTTGTGTTGGTTACTTCTTCAACAGAGCATTGTGTTACAATTTTACGTATCATTACACAATATAATTATATAATTATAAAACAAATTATTATTATTATATAATTATAAAAAAAATATAATTTATATAAATAAAATGATATTAAACATTAATTTTATTCTTCCTGGATTGTAGAAAGACTTCTACCTACATTAAAGAATGGAAAGAATTTATGTTATATATTATACAATACATTTCACATTATTGGATAAATTCATAATTTAACCGTTACACACGATATTGGGCTGTCAGTAAATAATTGAAAGGTATACTTTACCTGTTTTCGTTCTCGAGACTTCGCTTTCCGTTCTATGATGACCTAGAGCTTGCAATTTTTCCGTAATTCCGTGAATTTTGTCAGCCAGCGAGGATCCAACGTGACCCTCCGTGGATGCCCCGCCTGGTACGCCGGTGCTATTAACGTTACTGCTGGAAGTCGTGTGCGATGTAATTGCGGCGCAGGCAGTTGTTGAGGAGAGCACGGCCATCTCCTGGGAGCCAACAAACGCGGATAATACGTGGCTTTTAATTCCCGGCGCGAGCGCGCGCAAGTATCTCGTTTACGAGTATCTCTTATTGTCGCTTTTTATGTCGAAAGCGCGCTCCCCGCATGACGTGATATGCTTTTCTAGCTGGCCAATGTGATATCATTGCGATTGCAATGCGCGTTTCAGGTTTGTAGTGTCACGTCGTGACACTAAATTCGCATTAAAAATTCTCTTTTTCCTTTTTTCTTGTGACCAATTTGCGTTTATGGTACCTGTGTACTCGCAGTAGCGATAATATATACCATATATACCGGGAATCTTTATTAATTTAAACATGTGATACGTACTTTGAAGGCTTTTCCGTCCACTCCGCGCGAACCCTTCCTGACGAACGAAAGGAAAAGATGTCGGCATAATTCTTCCGGCGTATCGATCTCCAGATATGAATTCAGGAATTTGCGGAAACCCTCGTAATCGATGTCCTGGAATAGCCGAAAAGGAAATACTATTTAGTGAATTTCTTTAAAGAGTATAGAAATTTTAACAAGGCAAAAGTTAAAGCATAATCTAATTTCTATTATTAATTAAGTTTTATGACGCATGTGTTATAAATTAATGTCATAACGTAGAAACTAACTACTTTGACGATACATCACGGAAATCTATAATTAAAACAAAACTTGATATATTTTTAATTACGTATATTAAGCTTAATAATAAACTGGCAGATGAAAAATTAAAATTAAACGAATTGGCGATCGAATTTCTCCGTGTCGCGTTTTTTTTTAAATAATTGATAGTTGCAGTTAGAAGTATTTTCGTCACGAGTATCGAGAAAAAAAACGTCGTTAATTAATCCGGTATACGTAAGCCGCCCTCTCGTGTTCATTTCGATTCTGTTCGATCCAAATGAATTTCATTCGACAGAAGATTAAAGCCCAACGAAACGTGACGCTTCTGCCGGTACAATGAATCTCGCAAGGTGCACATTTCGTAAATGGACTGATTACAATTACATTCGGTGACGCGTATTTGGATTCCTCACGTTCTGGATGAATCGATAGTACTTGATGCGATTAACTATGCTTCGTTCATTACTATTCACAGAATTTGTTTCAGTGAGATTGCACGCTTAAGCCATCTTTCTTCTAATTGTAAGAGAGAAGTCTTTCTACGAAACTATCTAAAGTTTTTTAAACGACACCATTTCGGTGAATACATTCTCCAAATGTATTCACCGAAACGAGAAGCTTAATACATACGGGGTGAATACTAAGTACTCTAAAAGAGTAAATACTCTAAAAGATTTTAAGATTTAATACTCAATAAAAAATTTTACATCGTTCATAATTTATTCAACTATTTTATTATTGTAGCTTAAACCGCAAAGCTTTTGAAACATTTCATTTTTTAACTGTGCAAGATAAATGTTTAGTTCTCTAAAAGATTTTAAAGGGTTTCACAAATTTAAGATAAAAACTTCATATGATTATATGTCGACTTAATTTTAAAGATGTCAAAGTTGAAAGTAAAATTTCACATTCTTTCTAAAAATTTCGAAAACAACCTGGATTACTTTGATGAATCTTTATATATGTTTAAAGTTTCATTGAAATAAGTGATTTTCAAAATTATTTGAAAAAAACGAAACTTTCCCTCTTCAACTTTGATATATTGTACCTTTGAAATTATAAGTTGTTTCGGACATATGGTGTGACATATGAAGCTTTTGTCTTGAATTAGGTAGGAGGAATCCCTTAAAATTGTTTAGAGCCACCTAGTATCTGCCAACAATTGTTAAAAAACGAAATCTTAAAAAAAAAGTGAAATGTTTCGGAAGATTTGCGGTTAAAGCTAAACAATAACGAAATGGTTGAATGAATTACGAATGATGTAAAATGGTTATTGAGTATCTCTTTTGAGAATACAGTGCGCGTCTCATGAAAGAAAGACAATAAAATATTGAATTTAAACAATTTTACATAAAACAAAAAGTTTATCGAATATGTAAATGTATTTATTGAATAGAACACAATCAATTATCTTTATATAACTATCGTTTTATGTAACTATCGCTGTTGACTATAAAATCGATTATGATTGAATAAACATGTAATACAACTTAATCCATGATTGATTTGAAGTAATTAAATTGCGAAGAATATATCATCGAAATATGAATCTACTGTTGATTTTATACTTATTAGATAACGATTATAAATAATGAATTATTAAAGAAAATGGATTATTCAGAGAGAATATTTACACGGGAAGAATAGTTTTACTAAAGTATCTAAAAATTGAGCTAGATATAAATCACAGAAAATAATTTTATTAGTCTCAAAATAATTATGTAGGACGCTTAAGTTGATCAAAACTTTTTGCACTCTTGCTCGTCATGCTTGAAGTTTTCTCTCTCCCTACATAATTATTTTAATAATTCAAATAAAGTTATTCAGATCTGTATTTACCTAAATTTTTAAATATTTCAGTAAAATCATTCTTTCCGTGTATAAATATTTGCTACAATATATTAAGCTGTTCATATATTAAGCTGTAAATATATATTAAGTCGTAGGAAGAACTAAATTGCCAGTATAAGCAAAGTTATATTATATTATATAGTTGATAAATTTCGCTCAAATGTCGAAAGTGTTCCTAAAATCCGTAATATTTCCGCGCAGCCAGTTCATTCACTTTAATTAAAGCAGGAGCCAATTAAGCTGGAGAAAACTTCAAGCATGACGTACGCTTTCTGGGTAGAAAATTAGACAGAAAAGCGGCGGAGTTGCGGCATCGTTACATGACATCCGCACAATCGAAGGCGTTCGTGCGCGTCTTCGCGCGAACTTTTGCGAGACTAACAAAAAAGTTATCCAATTCCGGAAACGCACGGCCTACATTCCACTAAACTGAATCTGCATAGATATTGGGTCGATCTACCGCGAACAAGCGCGCATCCGCCTCTGGCGAAAATTCATTTGGCACTGAAATTCGTGCTTCACCTTGTAGAATCCGATTGGGATATAGCGGAAGTACGATTCGGTAAGGGAAGAGAAAAGGAGCTTGTTTCACGACCTGCGTGATTTAATTTTCCGCAATTTTCCGCTCGATTAATGATCAACGAGTGTATTGTGTTAGCGTCTATTCATTGCGAGCTCTTCAAGATTGGCATTCTTTCCTTCAACAATAACTCGTTTAAATATGCAGGCTCGTATTCAAAACGCATTTATAACGATGTTAGTGTGCATATAACATATAATATATTTACGTTACGTATACTATATATATAGAATTTCAGAAAAACGTGCGATAAAAGCGTGTGCTCAATATAGGTCGTAAAATGTTGAAATCAAGAGTACGAGGGAAGTTCGAGAAGTTCACAACCTGACACCGAAATGACGCCACAAATATCGAATTGGTATAATTTTCGACAAGATTGATCCAGCACGGAGCTACTGTTAAAATTTCAGACAGATATGTTCATTAGTTTCTTTGTTTCAGTCGTGTAAAACAACCAACTTTTGATTTTATCATGACAATGCATCCGCTCACACTTCTTCAATTGCAGTCACAAAATTGCACGAATTGCGCTTCAAATTGGTTCCGTACGCATCGTATTCATCAGATTTAGCTCCCAGTGATTTTTTTCCTTTTTCCAAACATGAAGAATTGGCTCGCAGGAAAAAGATCTATCTCAAATACTGAAGTAATCGATGAAACCAATGTTTACTTTAAACGAATAAGTGTATTGAACTGAAAGAGGACAATGTTAAAAGAAATTAAAAATAATGTGTTTCTTTATCAAGTTGCAAACTTTTCGAACTACCTTCTTGTTTAATCAGTGAAATGACTCGTCAATCTGAAGATGCTGATCAACTTAACTGACGCACCTTAAGTATGCATATTTTACAGCGTATAATCGTAAATTTTTAATTAGAATGAAACAAAAATCAACAGTTATAATTAAAGAGGAGATTTGTAAAACGCTAACCTAATTTCGAGTTTTATTTGAGTAGGTCTGAGAGAACCACTGTGACATTTATCAATATTCCTAACCAAGGACGCAGGGTGTCGCCTTTTTTTTCTTTTTTGTTCCGTTAAACCTGCGCTATGAGCAATAAAGTCGCAAGCAGAGAATGGTTGCAAAGGGCGCGGTTCGTGCTAGATCGTTGAAAATAAATTTGTAACAATTATGAATATCTTGCAGAATAACGAATTAATTAATAAATAAACAAATTATGTTTTGTTTTCATTCTTTCTCTAGTTTATGAAATAATAGAAATTCGTAGTTCCCAATAATTATAAAATATTTACATTTTTTCTTTGCCTTTCTTCGTTGACGTTAATCGGAAAACTGCGAACCGTTATTATTAGGAAGCTGCTGTTATTATTAAGAACATCTTGCTTCGCGTAATAAGTCATTCTTCCGTTCTAATTTGCGAGATCATTGCAGCTCTCGCGGTATTGTGTGGTAAATTAAATGGAAATTCTTTGACCTTACTTTGAATTTAAGTTTTATAAGTAGACTCAAGTAACTTCGAAAAGACGTCTTTCTTTTAGAAACTAATTTACACTATTATATATATATATGGTTCAATGAATAATAGTTATAATGTTTTTATCTCATTTGTTTTTATCTATGAAAGCTTGTAGTCGTGCATTTGTTTAATTCAATAAATATTATTAAATAGACTTACATTAAAAATGTAGCATATAACAAATTTATATCATATCGTCGCATTGATAAAAAAATGTCACAAATAAAAAATTAGCATTTTTAAAATAATAAAAAGAAATTGACTCTAAAAACTTATATATTGTTGTGGAAAAACGATATAAATCTTATACATTGCTATGAAACACAATTTTGGATACAATCTTATATTAAGATTACAGTGTTTGAATTTTGAAAACTCATGGCATAATTTTAAAGAGTACATTATAATTGAAAGTATAACATGGAAAGAAAATGGAGGCATGCATATCCATTATTCTAATTAGGACATTGTTCCAATTCAGAAAGAATTTTAAAAGTACTCTATTAAAAAGTTATTAAATTTGTGTTTAATACAAATCTTCTCTTATTAAATATATCCGTTCTATCGTTTTTTTAATTTCTAATATAATTCTAAAAGCTCTAATTGACAACTCGATAATTCTCTGCAGTATTCTTTTTATTCAAATAAGATTTCATATTATTTTTTATAGACGGAACCAACGGTAGATTTTTGCTTATTCTCTATTGAATTTTCACATAATTTTCCTACGTCAGCGAAATATCTGGATTTACTACTGAGCCGTTAACGTGTCTGCGTCTGTTGGTCGTAATCCTATTTTGTGCATCAATTCCGTAGCTATATATAGCGTATGTAGTCGAATGTGTTCTATTATCGACATTTTGCAGTTAAAATGATTTAACTTCAGCCTACGATATTTCTAATTAACTAACCGCTTTCATATTTTTATCTTGCGATTTAAC